ACGTGCATTGAACGCTTGATCGTGCACGCCGTACTTAAGTTATGATTAACACTTATTACTTGCTACTACATGATGATTAGAGCAGACTTAGACATGATTAAGCTCGGTAAAATATTTATCGAGCGATTGAACATTGATTAACTATCGAAATCTTATTCCGAACATAAACGTGACATTCAAAAATTAATTCGAACGTTCTTGACTTGGATAAATAGTTCCGAATGATAATTCTTAATAAAATAAATATTCCGGAACTAAATGTGATATTACATTAATAACATGATGGGTTGTTACAATCTGCCCTCCTTAAAATATTTCCGTCCTCAGAAATACAAAACAGAACATCTATACATGAAACATAAGAAATATATACATCAAAATTGGAAATTAGGAAAACGAGCACGAATATCAGCCTCCTGCTCCCAAGTGGCTCCGTGGCGATCCGACTGAATTCAAACGAGGGGAACATCACACTTTCGGAGTCGTCGATCCTGTCAGTCCAACACAGCTACCGGTCGCTCCTCGTAAGATAAATCTGGATGGATCTGAATATCAGTATGAGGAATGACATGATCGTGGTCGCACACGTACTTGCGTAACATGGATACATGAAATACTTGGTGCCGGTTGGGATGACAGTGTAGTTACAGTGGAGGTTTTACGTGGTGAACCTCAGTTATGAACACTGGATAACTCGGGAGGTAAGGCTAATCGATAAGCAACTTTGCCACTCGCTCGAGAACTTCGAACGGGCCAATGAATCGAGGGTGTAACTTCTCTCTCTTCCCGAATCGAATAACTCCGCGGAATGGACTAACTCTGAGAAAAGCTCGCTCGATATCTCATCGATGCTGATCGGCTGAAGATTTCTGTCGACTCTGAGCTGTCTTGAGTCTCTGTCGGATCAACTAGACCTGTTCTGCAGTTTCCTCGATCAACTTCGGACCGAGTACTCGAGGTTCACCGACATCGTTCCAATAAAGAAGGGAACAACACTTACGACCATAAAGTGCCTCGTAAGGAGCCATCTGAATAGAAGAATGATAACTGTTGTTGTACGCGAACTCAACATATGGCAATAACGACTCCCACTTAGCACCCCCTGTCAACAACCAAAGCTCGAAGCATATCCTCCAATGTCTGAATGGTCCGCTCGGTCTGTCCGTCAGTCTCTGGATGGTAGGTTGAACTGAACTCTAGTCTCGTGCCCATTGCCTCGTGCAAACTCTGCCAGAATCTACTAGTGAATCTGGGGTCTCTGTCTGACACGATAGTAACAGGCACTCCGTGGAGTCGAATGATCCCACATGTATAAATCTCAGCCAACTTGTCCAAAGACATATTCATCGATATTGGCATGAAATGAGCAACCTTAGTCAACCTGTCCACCATGACCCAAATAGCATCGTGATGTTCAGATGACCTTGGTAACCCCGTGACAAAATCCATCGTAACCTCCTCCCACTTCCACTTCAGAATCGGCAGTGGTCGTAGAAGGTCTATGGGACTCTTGTGTTCGGCGTTGACTTGCTGACAGGTTAAACATTTCCTCACAAAGTCGGCTACGTCCTTCTTCATCCCTCGCTACCAGAACGACCTTTTCAGGTCATGATACATCTTCGTGCTTCCTGGATGGGCTAGATATGGTGCGGTATGAGCCTCAGTCAATATCTCCTTCCTCAACACTTCGACTTTTGGCACCACAATCCTGCCTCGAAATTCCAAGTCCCCATCAGTGCCTCGGTGAAAACCCTCGACGCCTCCAGCGCGGACTTTGGCATCAATTGCACGAACAAATTCATCAGAAGCCTGCTCCCGCTGGATCCTTTCCCTCAACGTCGGCTGAACCTGCATAGAACTGACACTCCCCGCAATGGCTGTAGGAGGTGCATCAACCACCTGAATCTACATCCGGGCGAACTCCTGAATAAGACGGCTTTGCTGAGTAACAACATAAGTCAAATCACCCTTCACCCTACGGCTTAGGGCATCTGCAGCAACATTCGCCTTTCCCTGATGATACTGGATCGTGCAATCATAATCCTTGACGAGCTCTAACCAACGGCGTTGTCTCATGTTGAGCTCTTTCTGAGTGAAAATATACTGTAAGCTCTTATGATCTGTGAAAATCTCGCATCGACCGCCGTATAAATAATGTCGCCAAATCTTGAGGGCATGAACAACTGCGGCTAGCTCCAAGTCGTGTGTCGGATAGTTCTGTTCATGTGGCTTTAGCTGGCGTGAAGCGTAAGCAACGACCTGGCCATCCTGCATGAGTACGCATCCCAAACCCTGTCTTGAAGCATCACTGAAAATAGTGAAACTCCAAGAAGGATCAGGAATAGTCAACACCAGTGCTGTGGTAAGTCTCTTCTTGAGCTCCTGTAAGCTCGATTCACATCGCTTAGTCCACTCGAAATTCACAGATTTCCTCATCAGCTGAGATAAAGAAAGGGCAATCTTGGAGAAACCCTCAATGAATCTGCGGTAATAACCAGCCAAACTGAGAAAACTGCGAGCCTCGAACGGACTCTTCGGTGTCGACCAATTCTGAACAGCGGCAACCTTGGATGGATCAACCTCAATACCTGCCTGCGTAATAACATGGCCAAGAAAAGCTACTCGCTGGAGCCAGAATTCGCATTTGGAGAATTTTGCATATAACTTTTCTCGTCTAAGGGTTTCAAGGACAACCCTCAGATGCTCCTCGTGTTCCTTCTGGATCTTGGAGTAGATAAGAATATCATCAATGAAAACAATAAAAAACTGATCAAGATAAGGATGGAAGATACGGTTCATCAGGTCCATAAATACTGCTGAGGCGTTGCTGAGACCAAATGGCATGACTACGAACTCATAATGACCATACCGAGTATGAAAAGCGGTCTTGGGGATGTCTGACTCTTTGATTTTCAGCTGATGGTAGCCTGATCGTAAATCAATCTTGGAGAAAACACAAGCTCCCCTCAGCTGATCAAATAAATCGTCAATCCTGGGAAGCGGATATTTATTCCTGATCGTCAACCGGTTAAGATCCCGATAGTCGATACACTTGCGCATAGGACCATCCTTCTTCTTGACAAAAAGAATGGGTGCTCCCCACGGTGACATGCTCGGTCGGATAAAACCGAGTTGCAATAACTCTTGGATTTGCGCCTTACGTTCTTGCAATTCTTTCGGCGCCATACGATAAGGTGCTTTGGAAACTGGGTCGGCTCCTAGAATAAGGTCAATAGAGAACTCTTCCTGCCGGTTAGGTGGTCCTCCTGGAAGTTCGTCCAGAAACACGTCCACAAACTCAAGAACAATAGGAACGTCATGAGGTGTTCGTGCCTTTGGTGAATCATCGACAAGGCTTACAAGATAACCCTGACAGTCGCCTCGTCGCAACATCTTTTTGGCTTTCGCCATTGAAATAAAATGAGGCAAGGAACGAGTCTTGGTGCTATAGAAAGTAATTTGATTATCTCCCGGAAGATAAAGGGTAATCTTCCGGTCATGGCATCGAATATTGGCATGAAAATATATTAGCCAATCCATGCCGAGTATGAGGTCAAAGTCCCTCATCTCGAGAATGTAAGCGTCGGTAGACAATGTACGGCCACCGATAGAAAGACTGAGATCTGTAGCTTTAGCAGTAGTAACTATCTTTCGTCCCGAGGCTAAACTCACCTCGAGAGGATCGAC